AAAAATGTACAATGAAAACATATCCTCCCCGTCCCAGATGCATAGAAACAACCACTGGAAATAGCATTTGAGTATCCTTGCCAAGCTGTTTCTATAATTCATGTATATATGCTCCTCTTTTTAAAATTTATACACATTGTTCTGTTTAATGTTAATGATGTTTTCATTTAATGATGTATCTTGGAGGTCGTTTCATAATAATAACATTTGCTAACTATTTTGATGTCAAGCAACAAGAAAGCTAATTTGTTTTATCTTATTTAATCCTCTCAACAACTTTGTGAAGTACGCTTTATTATTATTCTCCATTTTGGAGATGGAATTAGTGAGGCAAACAGAGAATAAGTAACTTGCCCAAGGTCACACAGCAAGAGGATGGCAGAGCTGGTATTTGAATCCCTGAGGTCTGATAGCAGATTACCACTCCTAACACTTGGAACACCATGTGGGCCTCCTTCACCAACAGCACACACCATTCTCTTTTTACAGCTGCATAGTGTTCATCCGTATAGCTGCATGTGGATGCACATACATTACTTAACCAATCTACTATCAATGCACACATAGGTTGTTCTCAATTCCTGGCTATATTTAGTAACAAAAAAGCAGTAGTTAACACCCTTAACCATTCACCTATGCCTACATGCACCAGTATGATTTTAGAATAAATTCCTAAAAATAAAATGATCAAATCAAAATTTAAAATTTTGATTAATAGTATGAGTTTCCCCTTCAAAGAGTAGTAATGCCAATTTACATAGTCGTCAAGAATATGTGTGTTTGTGCTTTCTAATTTTCATTGCTATCTATAAAATATAAATCATGCTATTAAATGGTATCTGGAACTTAATAGCTGCTCAAATTTTTTTTGACGTTTGGTTATGTGTTTGACAATATCTTTTCCTAAATTATATCAAGAGACAAATTAAAGAAATCCTGTTGGGTAGAGAGCAGAAAACATTTCATCAGTGATCAAGCTTCAAAGTCACTATATCCTAAGGAAGTCTGTGCAGGGAATGCAGTCATACCCAAAGGCTTCCATAGTAGCCATGAAATCATATACAGAAAAGGAAATTGAAGCAACAATCTAATCCAATGCCCTCACTTGACAACCTGAGAAAACTGGGACACAGATATAGACCCATCCCAAACATTTGTGGGGCCTTAGAGCAAGGGTACAAATGGAGGCCCANTACATTTTTTGGCATCATTATATTTATATATCCATCCTTAAATATGTCATTTCCACATTCTTTTTTGAAGTTTTACTGTATTTTTTTCTTGCTAAATTTGCATAAGGATCTGTGTAATTGTTTGTATACAACAAATTATATAATAAAGGAAAAGCACATTGCGTTTTGCCCCCCCCCATAGCCTAAAGCTGTATATTTTCCTTACTCTTGCTTTATTATCCTAAATTTCTTTGTCGCACTTCCAGATGTCCAAAATTCATTTTATTTCCTAGCTTATCATCTTTCTGCCCACTATAAAATGTATGTTCCTTGAGATCATGGCCCTTGTCCATCTCATTCACCTCTACATCCCTTCAGAGCTTAGCACTGAACGTGGCATGAAAGAGATACTCACTAATTAGTTGTTATTTGTTAGATCCAAAATCATAGTTCATAGGAATAGGAAAAGACACCAAAGACTATCCATCTCAACTTCCTATTTTATAGGAAACTGTGGTTATATAAAATCACAGATCTAGTTATTAAGCTGGGACTAGAACCAATTCTACAAACTCCCAATTTAGAATGAGTTATTTTATTTATTTATCTTTTTATTTTACCTGAAAGTGCTTTTCTGGCATTCCCAGTTTGGGGAAACAAATCACTCTGCTGAAAGTTTCAGGTCTTTGTTTGGAGAAAGTACTTCAGTTGACAAATACTCAGAAATTTGCCTGCAGAGTTTGGTCTACAGGGAAAATGGCAAGACAGTCTAAAGAAAAATGGCCAACCTTTAGCTTTCATCTTTGGAATTCTTAAGCGATGGCTTCTCTAGCACTTATTAACAATTTTGGAGTCAGATAAACCTGGTTTGAGTTGAGAGGCTGTCACGATCTGTGGGCTGTGAGTTTTGGGCAAGCTATTTAAATATTGTATAGCTATGTCCCTATAATATAATAAACACTAAATAAGTGTTAATTCCTCAATTTCTCTTTCTCCTGCACCTCACTCACAGATAAGGGAGGTGGCCCTGTTTAAGATGCCATGATATTTTAGGGGAAATTTTTTAGAAGTGTATGTTCAAGACTACTTGATTACAATTTCAATTTTTTCTCAGATTCCCCAAGTTTTATCAGTTGTCATTACTTCAATTCCCTCTGTTAATTAGGTACATGTAGCATCTTAGTAAGAGCAGACATGAGAATTTATTTTGAATAGGATGTGAAAAAAAACCCTCCAAGATTAGAGCAAGTTTCTCCTGCTCCTTCACCATGATAATTTCTGTAATCATCGTTAAAGAAAAACACAATTAGCTCAGAGTAGAAAAATCTATGTCTAGGAAGAAGAACTAATACTAAACAATGTTGAAATATAGAGGCCAGTAGTCATTTTATGTTGGCTCTTCATTGACAAATTTGGATTATCTTTCATTAGAAAGAGAACAAGGGCCTGATGACAGACGCTCACTCCAGAATCCACTCCACACTGCTTCTGTGAAGGGCATCTTACCCTTTTACCAGCAGTTCATGCAAAGTGGTCGCATTGAGGGTCTCCCAGCTGGAGTGTAATGTCAGCCACTGCTGGTCTTGCTCCTGTTCCGGTATTAATTCCGTCGCAGATGGTTCCCTGATAGAAGGTAAATACCAGTTAAACAATCCAAGTACAATGACCTTCAACAAGGCAATATCATTATTTAGCACTCAAACTCTTTGAAAAAGAAGCATTAAATTATAAATCAATATTTCAAGAGGGGGATTTGTATTTGAAATTTGGTGTGAAATGTGATCAGCAAGAGTGGAAGACACTAAAATTATACTGAAGCAAAAAAGATCCAAACTACTACAGCTGTTTTAGTCATTCTCTCTGCTGACATGGATTTCCATTTTGTCAGGAGTAAGAATTCTAACATATGATGTAAAAATTCCAGTATCAAAAAAAAAAAAAACAATAGCAACTTTAGACAGGGGTCAAAAGTAAATGAAAATTTATCTGCCTGGGTTA